GCTGTTGGATTGTTGTAGATGGCTTTGATCAGGTTAAGGCAAAGAACATCTATTCCTATTTTCAATAGAGTTATCATAAATGCATGTTGGACCTTGTCAAAAGCTTTCTCTTCATCTATTGAGATGATCATGTGGTTTTTGTCTTTGGCTCCATTGATATGGCATATAACATTTATAGATTTGTGAATATTGAACCAATCCTGCATTCCTAGAATGAATCCGACTTGGTTGTGATGTATGATTTTCTTGATAATTTGTTGCATTCTATTTGCTAGTATCTTACTGAGTATCTTTGCATCTATATTCATGAGCGAGATTAGTCTGTACTTCTCTTTCTCTGGCTTTGGTATTAGTACGATGCTTGCCTCCAGAAATGAGTTAGGGAGAATTGCTTCCTTTTCAATTTCATTGAATAGTTTGAGGAGTGTTGGTATTAAATCTTCTCTGAACTTGTAAAATTCTGCTGTGAATCCATCAGGGTCTGGGCTTTTCTTTGTCAATAGGTTTTTAACCATGCTTTCAATCTCATTAATTGACATTGGGTTGTTCAGGAATTTGATATCTTCTTGACTCAACCTTGGTAACTTGTACATATCTAGGAATCTGTCCATTTCTTCTGAATTTTCTATCCTATGGGAGTAAAGATTTTCCAAGTAGGTATAAATGATCTTCTGAATTTCTGTGAAATCTGTAGTAATGTCATCCTTTTCATTCCTTAGTGCATGAATCTGAGTTCTTTCCTTCCTTTTCTTGATAAGGTTGGCTAGGGATTTTTCAATTTTATTTATTCTTTCAAAGAACCAGCTCTTTGATTCGTTTATATTTTGGATGGTTTTCTTTGTCTCAGTTGCATTAATTTCTGCCCTAATCTTTATAATCTCCTCCCTTCTTTGGGCTTTCGGCCTGACTTGTTCTTTTTCTAAAAGTTTAAGGTGTAGCATTAGGCTACTTATTTGTTCTCTTTCTGTTTTCCTTATGTGTGAATTCACCACTATAAACTTCTCTCTGAGGACTGCTTTCACTGCATCCCATAGATTCTGGTAAGTTGTATTTACAGTTTCATTTGTTTGTAGGTGTTTCTTAATTTCCTCTTGACTTTCTTCTGTGACCCATTGGTTGTTCAGGAGGTTGGTATTTAATTTCCAAGTGTTTATGGAGTTGTTGGAGTTCCTTTTGTCATTAATTTCCAATTTCATTGCACTATGGTCAGATAATATGCGTGGGAGAATTTCCGTTCTTTTGCATTTCGGAAGGTGTGCTCTATGGGCTAGGATGTGGTCTATTTTAGAGAAAGATCCATGTGGTGCTGAGAAAATGTGTATTCTGAAGTTGTGGGGTGGAACACTCTGTAGACATCTACTAAGTCCATTTGTTCACAGCTTTTGTTCAGGTTTGTTATTTCCTTGCTGAGTTTTTGTCCAGTTGACCTATCTCTTTGTGTCAATGGGGTGTTGAGGTCCCCTGTTAGAATAGTGTTATTAATTATATGGGTTTTCATGCCTGTTAAAATTTGTCTTATATAATTTGGAGCTCTAATATTTGGTGTATACATGTTTATGATTCTTATCTCATCCTCTTGCAGTTTTCCCCTGACCAGTATATAGTGACCTTCTTTTGCTCTTTTGATTGTTGTCAGTTTGAAGTTTACATTGTCTGCCAACAGAATAGCTACAACTGCCTTTTTCTGGGTTCCTGTGGCATGGAGGATTGTTTTCCATCCTTTGTCTTTTAGTCTATGGATTTCCTTTTGAGTGTAATGTATTTCCTGTATCTAGCATATCATTGGATTTTGTTTTTTTTAATTCGCTCTGCCAGTCTGTTTCTTTTGACTGGAGAATTGAAGCCACTTACATTTATATTTATAACCGACATGTATTGATTTATCAATGTCATGTTATTTACTAGCATTGGTGGCCTACTTTTTCTACCTGTTTACTTGCTTGCTCTTCTTGACATTTCAATTCTACTGTTGTTCTTGAAATTTCAGTCAGATTTTTCTCTGTCTAGAATATCTTTTAGTACTCTTTGTAATGCTGGCCTGGCACTCATGAAGTTCTTCAATTGTTCTTCGTCGTGAAAATATTTTATTTCTCTGTTGAATTTGAGGGACCGTTTTGCAGGTTACATCAGTCTTGGTTCGAAGCTGTTCTGTTTTAGGACTTGTAATACTTTGCTCCAAGCTTTTCTCTTGTCAACTTTTTGAGATTGGATGGTTTGTGCTGAGAAGTCTGCCGTGATTCTGATGGGCTTTCCTTTATAGGTAATCTGTTTCTTTTCTCTAACAACTTTTAATATTCTGTTCTTTTGCTGGAGATCTGGGAACTTGACTATTATATGTCTGGGTGTAGTTTTATTTTTGTTGTGGTTGTTTGGAGTTCTATAAGCCTCATCTACCAGTATATCAGGTTCTGTT